TCTAAATGATTTGAAACTGTTCTGTGAGTGTGATGAATTCAATCTAAAATTAAAATTATCATTTACAAAATACTAAATATTAGTATGTAGATATTCAATATGTGATGAAAACTTATACATTTCCATACACTTATGCAATTATAGATAAATAGATGAAAAATTAAAATTATTATTTTAAGAATTTTCAGGATAAAATTATGAATGAAATGATTATCTTGTTGTTAATTATTTCTTTACTATGCAAGTATTAAAAAACTATCATTGGCCCATCTATATATGGACAACATATATTACAGAATGTTGAACATATCATATGATGATAATATTAATGTAAATTTAATAAATATATTTGAACAGAGTTTGTACTTACTATGTGGAGAACAAATATATAAAATAATTAACAATTAATACTTTATTTCATTAGACATGCATCTTTGTTATGTTTATAATAAGTGTTACACCTGTTTACACTGATACTCATGTTTTAAAATAACAAAATTATGAATACAGAAAATACAATGGTATAAAAGTATTATACCATAATTCTAACTATTTTACATCACTTTCTCAAATTCAATTTTGGAAAATAAGTTTTCTTTATGTAAATAATTTATGACCAAACATTTTTGAAAGCTAAAAGAAATTAAAATGTCAATATATGAAGCTTATCAGTAGTTATTCAATATAAAGATGACATGTAAACCTAATGTAAATATAGAAGCAATAATGTTGACGATAAACACCTTCTACATAAAATTTATAGCATTAAAAAAGTTAATTACAATTGAAAATTTAATCAAAATTATATATGATATTTAAAATAATTATCAATAGAAGAAAAAAATTTAGAATTTTTCAAAATGTTAAACCAACTTTACCTTTCATTTCTATGAAAGTACATAGTCTATAAAGAACATAGGGTACTGCATGTTTACTTTTATCATTTTGTTCTTTCAAATCTCTTAATGATGATCCAAATATCTGATGCTGTAAATTAGACTTCTTTGAACATTGCTGATCCTGACTTCTTCCAGTTTCACAATCAGCATTCTGACTCTAAAAAATTTTTTTAAAGTATTATAAATAAATACTATGTTCTAAAAACTTTCTGACTAAAACAATGTTTAAACTAACAAGTTTAGTATGTTAATTAAAATAATATAAAACATCTATTTAATTTGAGAAATTTATTTCATATAATTTGAAGAACTATAATCTGTTACCTAAAGTAGAGATTCTTCTTGCTAACAAGTAGGACTATTGTAACTAAGAGCTTCACATTCTATAACTTCGTTCTGCTCCTGTTAATTACTTGTTACCAAGTAATTGATAATTGTTTTGTAATTAAGGTTTTTGAATTATCAATTAGTAATAAAGTATACTTAGTATGTGTATATTTATTCAGATATTCAGGTTAAAAAAAAATTGATGTGTATTCTTGAACAGTAGAATAGTAACACGATTGCTTCAAAATCATATGTAAACTGTATCGACATCAGAACCACCACACATTCATGAATATTAATGTGTAAATATTTATGTATGTATTATTATAGAAAAAAATCAGGCCTGGGAGTGCCACTTCCCCTTTGAAAAAATGAGAAAAGTGAGTTGAAATACAGAATAAGTGAGTAAAAAAGTGAGTGCAATACAAGTAGCCCTTGGTTTATGCTGGCTCAATTTATGCCGATTCACAATAACTCCGCTGCGCAATTCACCATTTCGCGGTGTAATTCCCCAATTTTCCCTATGCTAGACTGATTTTCATTTCAGTGTCGGCGTATTTACCGAGCCGCAACATTGTATATTAGTTACAAAAGATTTTCTGTTTAATATTATTGGGTATGCATACATTTGCATTAAATTAATATTAAAATACTAAACATTTAGGTACCCACGAGTCAAGTTATTAAACTTAATAGTCCAACAAATGGTGTCTGAATCAATAGTGCCAATGAATGTATCCCATATCAAATCGTTCAGGAAAACACTTTACGACGCAGTAGCACTTCCAGCGATCACAAATCATCATTAGTGAGACAAATCTACTTTTCATTGGCCAGACGATATCTATCTCTTCTTAGCCACCTTCAATTTTCCTGCTCAAACTGACCTTATATATGGGCTACGGCAACCAGTGGTCGACCAATCAGTGTCTCCGCTTGTCTGTAGCTCTATGTCGGGTTAATGTATCCTTTCAACAATGGAAAGTTTGATGGATGAACTTTGTGAGTTAGACAATGATTGGGAGAGAAGTGCAAATGTAAAAAGGAGCATCATATTCGACCATATTCCGAAATTCTCAATGAAAGAAAACAAAAATGTAAACAATTAAAGATGGTCTTTAAGCCTCTGTTTTAAAAGTCTCATAGTGGCACCAACGTAAACGAGATCTGAATTAAAACAGTGGTCACTTAAAGGAATAGAATACACTCCTGTACTATTGTTACGGTTTCCTTTCTTCTTATCATTTTGTAGAATTCTATAAATCGTAGGATTACAATGATAAATTATTCTTAAATTATTCTTGTGAGCTAATTTTTTAATCATCGAGTGTAGGAAAGGTTATTAAAGATGAATACTTCTTTCCAAAAAATGTACGAGATCCGAAACTAAAATTTTTTAATAAAAACATTTCACTTTATTTTATGATAAAATACGTTTTAAAAATTAAACTTATATGTATTTTGCATTATATTGTATTAATAAACAAAATTATTTGCTTATTTTTCACTTATGTAGATCCTAACACTATACCTCACTGTAAATATGGGTTCATTTTACGCTGATTTCATTTGTGCCGGATTTTGTAGGAATGGAACTGCGGTGTAAACTGAGAGCTACCTGTAGTGACAAAACAAAGTGAAAACATGGAAAGAAAACTCAGCAAAATAGCAGTAAAAGTTTTTTATTTTTATTGTTATGGTTAAATACATTTTAAAACTTTTTGTATATACTGTAATATTTCCAGTAAACCATGAATACTTAATAAGTCTTTGGCTTCTTCTGTAAATAATCAGTCAAGAAAGATGATGTTCTTTTATTAAGATTTTTCTGAATGTTTTCAACTTCCTTCTTTTTTGCTTCCTCTTGCTTTTGAACACTTTTAACACTAGCAAGCATGACATGTGCTGCCCGTATTTCATTCATATTCTTGCTATTAATGGCCTTCTCCAGTTTTTTGTTTGCTGCTTCTAACAAAACCTGGCCTGTCTCGTGTATTTCACTTCTACTTTTTTCTGTTTTAAACTCTGCTGCAGTGCCATAATCTTTTCCTTGACATGAATAGCTCTCTTTTGATGTTCTTCAAAATTTTTCTGTGCTTCCTCTTCTGCTCTTTTTTTCTGTTTCTGTAAACTACTTTTCTTGCGAATTCCCAGTATATCTTCCTTAAAAAGTCGTAACACTTTTTGATTAACATTAGGACCATCTGATCCTATCATCAAAAGTTTGTGTAGTGACAGGTTGGCATCATCGATAGCTTTGATAATGTATGTATGCAATGTTTCTGCATCTGCCCGTCCAAGAAAGCATGTATTTAGGTGTCTGCAGACAACTTGTTCTTTTTGCTCAGACCAAAATCTAATCATTATCTGTAACTCTTTCTTACTTTCCACATTGATGGTTTCATAATAAGTAACTGTAAAAAATGAAGAGTGGATTTCTTCTAGCATTTTTTTTTTGGAAGTAGGGAGCCAATGCTTCAGTTATTAAATAGCGCAATTTCTTCTCACTCATTGATATTCCTTCAGGAAGTTTAGTTTTTGGAAGCATTGCTTGTAGTGTTGGAACCATATTATTAGAAGCAGCAAATGAGAAATTACTACATATTGTTTTCATGGCCCATATCAGTTCTGCATGGTATGCAACATCTCTTGGATTATATAAACTCACAGTTGCCAATCCTTCTCCAGTCCCATTATCAGTATTACTTGGAATTTCAGCATTTTTTGATGGGCCTGCAAAACTATCACCTGGTGCAACCAATGTCAGGTGTAACTGTCTTGGACCATAAGCACAGGTAAATTTTTGTCTGTGTTTGACAGTACCTCCATGATCAAAAAGTGCTTGGAAACCTTTTTTTACTTGTATTATGCAATTACATACTTTGCAAAATACATCAGTGTCTGAACGTACAGTTGCCCATAATCCTACTGTACAATCTGCCTTGTCCTTTTGTTTCAACCAATCAGTTCGGAATTTGCACTTTGGTAGCGTCATATTGAGTGGATTCAAACCATTACATCTATATTCTAACTTGGAACCTGCTATAAACCAACAGTTTGTCGGTATCATTCCGCTAGAGATTTTTATTGGTCGATCACAATCGAAAGAGAGTAAACACGTGTTGACCACGTGATCGGTCACTTCTCTGCACGTGTTAAAAATAGAACAGAATAAAAAAATTACCAATAAAATAAAGCAATACTTAGAAAATTACTTTTTGCATGTTTTACCAATTCTATTTGATCATTTAAATATATATAATTTGTCAAAAATTAACATTAAATGTAAATTATTTAGATCTACACAAACTATATTTACAATTGAATAGTTTAACGTATTTCAAAATTTTATTTGTATATAAATTTTCCATTTTTGTAATGTGATTATTATATTAATTTGAAATAAAATTAACAACTCTTATTACGAACAAAATCAAACGATAATAAGCAGAAAACGAAACTTTTATGAGCACGATCGGAAACTGTTTATTTTTTAAAATGCTTCGAGATTGATTTAAAAATAAATTAATAAATCCGAAATAAACAGATTTCAAATAGAATAAGTAAAATAATATTTTATTAATGATTTCATAAATAACGAGGAACTTTTTCCTGCAGATGTTCCCTCACCGCCGAAACCGAAACTAACCCTTTACAAATAAGTGCTATAAATAGACTCTCAACTCTGCCTGCATGAAATATAGACCTAACCAAATTAATCAAGATCGACAAGTACTTTATCCGCACCTTCCCAAATAATATGTTTCAATTGATTTGACTTCAATTTTAATTTACATTAATTAATTTTGATTTTATTTTTAATTTTAGCTACGGTTTCGGTTTTTGTTTCGATATAAAGAACAGTTTTAAAATTTTAATTTAATTTTAAATTTAAGTTAAATATTTTTAAATTTAATTATTATTTTTTGTTTTAATTAAGGCTGTGTACACACTAGGCGTTTTTAAACGCGCGTTAGCTCGGCTTTCGACGAGCGTTAATAGAGCGTACGCACTGGCTCAGCTTGGAAATGGACGTGAAAGTAATTGCTTGTGTGCCCCTCCTCCATCGTCGCTATAAAAGACGATGGCAGAGGCAAAGAGAATTTTGGGTGCACCCAATATTACGAGATAGACTGACACATGGAATGTTCGCGACGTTGTATCCAAAACTAAGACAAAATGAACCCAAGTTTTTTAATTCTTTTAAAATATCTATAAAATCATTTGACAATGGTTGGTCTCTTTTAGATTTCATCAATAAATAGATCAGTATCGAAATGATCGTTCTCCATTTCGGCCAACGTACGTCCACTCTACCCGAAAACGCGCGATCGAATGTACAGTAACATGGCAGCACATATATCTCAAAGCGCTCGGCTGACGCCCGCAAAACGCGCGTTTTAACAAAAATCTATCAACGCGCGTTTGACGCGCGCTTGGCCAAAAGCGCGCGTTTGAGTGTGTACGCCTATGTAGAACTCTTGGTTCTTTAAAACGCGCGTTTAAAAACGCCTAGTGTGTACACAGCCTTACTGACTACCTAGTTACGTATAAATACAGACGATAACTTAACAACACTGAGCGGCAGTTGCGATTTTGAGTCCCGCTCGGGCGGAGTATTTTTTTCCATAAAAATCTAGTCCGATAGTTCAATAATTCGGCAGATCGTCTGGCTTTAAAACTATTTTTGATTGGTCCCACATCTTCCTAATTTTTAAGCACGTAGAAATGACCAAAAAAGTGAGAAAAGTGAGAAAATGACCTGAAAAGTGAGAAAAGTGAGGATACTTCAGAAAAGTGAGTACAAGTGAGAAAAGTGAGCGACTCCGAGGCCTGAAAAATCAATATGAAAAGTATTGACTTGCAAAGAAATTAGTTAAAACCTTATTAGCACAAATGATTGGCTTAATATTGGGCCAATATTGAATTCATTATTTTTACACTGATCAATAGTACCAATGAAAATACAATCTTTAGTCAATGTTTCATTTCAATATCATAACAAATGCTTCCAATTTTAGTCAGTCTATAAAATTAAATATTTTTAAAATTAACTTAATTATTTATACAGATTTTCATAAACTTATATAAATTATTGCATTATTTTCAAATAATTTCAATGTTTCTTTGAAATATCATCACTATTACTTTCACTTCACTTTAAGGAAGGTCTTCTCGGAAACTTTTGTGAATTGTTTTTAAGGATTGCTTATGGTGTAGAAATGGCAAAAGGATAGACAGAAGCAAGGTTTTTTTACCTTTGTGAATATGTCGTTTTGTATTTATACACTTATTAAATAAAAAAATAATCACTTTAAATTGTTTAATTACAGAGTGCTCAATTAAGAACTACTTTGTCATTTGAGAGAAATTTTTTAACCTTCCTGAATATTTTTGTAAAATACAACTCTATACAAAAGAGTTGTATAGAGGATCAAAGGACAAAGGACTAAATTCATTGACAGTATAACATAAGTAAGTATTCAATGTACTGTACATAATCACTAATTAACAAAAAACATGTAATTGTCAGTACTGTCAAAGCTTGCAGCATCTGGAAAGGCAATATTCTATAGACTAATGGCATAGTCTTCTATACATTTTTATGACCCTTAAAATAAATGATGTAAACTCCACCATTGCTGGGTACTTCAGCCATTATATTAATTTAATGTAATATAATATATTAAGCTGTACTAAGGAAATTATCTTATAAAATTTGCAAACATTACAACTCATGATTTGATAGTACAATTAAAGAGGGCAGTTGATATTTGCCCAAAATGCATTTTGTAGAAAACCCATAAAAGAAAATAAAGATAAAAGAAGCAGTATAAAATAGATACATGCCATTTATTGAAGAAGATCAGTATAAAATATTGTTCCAATACAGTTATAAAACATTGTACCAATGTACCAATATTATACAAAAATACTGGTATAAAAACTCAAAACATCTCAATACTGAAGCAATACTAGAAAACAAAATGGAAATAATATTGAAATACTGTATTGAATTACAGTATTTCAATATTATTTCCATTACAACCTTAGCCCAATATTTCTGTGATGCTGAGAAATGATGAATATATTCTCATTTCTTTTAAAGGGAAGAGAGTATTTTATCATAACTATTCTACAAACAATAAACAAGCATTAGATAAATTGCATGCAAAACATTAAAATTATTATTAAGAATATTTTAAATTTAAAATCTCATATGAAAAAATATTACTTCTGTTCTATGAAATACATAAATTATCAACATAATTTTTGTAACATTGTATTTCAGATGTATAAATCATTTTTCAGTTTACATGCCTTAGAAAGATCAACAGATTATGAATTTAATATTAAAAATAAAATATTCTCAGTTGCTAAATCCCTCTTTTTTTTTAAGGTAATGTAACAGCACTACATATCTCTAACCAGCAATTCTCAAATCATTACATACTGAGGCCAAATGCATTTTCCTAATTTTTTATTAACTAATAAAACAAACTTTAAATGAATCACTACAAGTCTGTAAAGAAGATTTAATGATCTAAGAAAATTACAATTCAAAGCAATCTTATCTATTTTTAAAAAAACTTACAATCCATTTTATGATAAACAGATACTTTTATTACTGATGTTATATTTATACATACCTATGTTGAAGCATTCTGGCTAAATTATTAAGTTTGTACTATTAAGTTAAGTACTATGAAACTTGCATGTATAACAAAATATGCAATCTGATTTTATTAATTTATTTCTGTATATAAAAAATTTATTTATATATATATATATTGGTTTTTACATTGTAAATTATGTAACATATGTTAAATTCATATCTAAAAAGCTTCAAATATTTCAAAACTCATATTTTTTTAATCTAAACACTATTAGAATTCTTTCAAGATATATATCACAAAAGAACACTTTGCTTTTATCTTTCTTTACAAATCAAAAATTATCATCTTTTTATTCAGATCTTTTTTACTTTCTTTACTGTTTGAAAAATTGAATATATTAATAAATTACATCCCATATTTTTTTGAATAATTGTTGAAAGCCAATTAAAAGTACAGTGTACCTCAGTATATGTCTGCTTTAAAATACGTCCTGTTTGGATGAAACAAATTTTGCTCGGTATATGACTTTTGTTCAGTATACGACTTAAATTCAATTATACGCGCTATCTACAAACAAGTAGTACTATCGATGTACTAGACCAGACTAGATGTTCATGGTGCCACGGTTTATAACTTTGTTAAATTTCTTTTTATTTTAATATGTAAGTAAAATGTTGTTATTTTTATTAATCATGAATTGCAAAAAGGCAACAGAAAAATAAAAAAAAATGACTAGAATCACAATGGAACTGAAAAAAGAGATTGTTGAGAAATATGAAGGTGTGTTCGAGATTTTAACTGTTTCATACCGTATTCCGAGAACGACGATATTGACAATCGTGAAAAATAAAGGCATTATTAAATTTGCTAACATTGCAAAAGGGGTTAAATCAATTTCTAAACAGAGATCGAAGACATTAGATCATGTCAAGAAATTGCTTTTGCTTTGGATAACTGAAAAACAGTGCGCTGGAGACAGCATATCGGAAGCAATTATTTGCGAGAAAGCTAAAAAGATACATGCTGATCTCATGAAAAATCAAGCAAGAACTAGCTAGGAAAGCGAGGTGTTTAAAGCCAGCCATTTTTTTTTTTTACATGAAAATGGATTAATCATTTTTACATTACTTCTTATGGGAAAGGTTGGTTTGGTATACGTCCTATTCGGTATAAGTCCAAACACCAGGAACGGATTAAGGTCGTATACCGAGGTTCCACTGTACTTATAAAATTACTTTAGTGTTTTTAATTTGTTACTTTAATATTAAATTTTAAAAAAATTAATCATGCATCTGATTGTTTTCATATACAATTAATAAATAAATATAATTGTTAATTGTCAGAATTATTGATAGAGAATATAATTAATCTATTAAGTCAGTTTTAAAATATTAAAAGTTAAACATTTTTTTATTATGCAACAATGAAGAAATCCATTTATATCTATTTGACACATTAATTATATAATTAAGAAATAAAATGTGTAATCAAATTTTAATGACTACTCATTAACAAAAATTACAGCACAAACTTTTTCTATAATATAAATTCACATACTTGATATCAATATATTTCATAACAATTTCTATTAAAACAATTTAAATTCAATTATCTTCAATTTTTTAATTACATAATTAAATTACTATACACAGTTACCTCTGACAGAGTTGTCATTTCTATAACATTAACTTGAGCACAAGAAGGATTCCGCATTCTTTCCCATAAGCAGCTGACTAATCCTGATACTACAGCTGCAAGGGAATGTGGTACCCTAATAAAATAATGAGATATTTAAGAATTTTTTAAATTATTAAGTAAATATATTTTATATAAATATAAAATATTTGTATGAATATAAGTAAACATAATAAGACCATTACATACTCATTAACTCAAGCATTTATCTTATATAAAGAAGCTGAAAAGAACAGAACTAAATAATTAATTTATCATAGATACAGTTTAAAATTAGAATTAATCTAAAAAGGACTACATCAAATTTTCTCATCATCAACCATTATTTTCATTTTTTTAAATACACCCTCATTGGCAAAGTTATGCACAAGATAGAATTGCCTGATTATTATACATCTACCTCTCAGATAAGCATGTAAGATTAAAGTTAAGATCTGACTGTATGCCAGATAATGACAACAGTTTTAAATTACTGCTCTATATCCTATAAAAATGATCACAAAGGTTCAGGTGTTCATTTATTTGAACACAGTGAGATACTTTCAATGTACTGTAGAATCTTGCTTTAACAGATCACCTGGACTATCAAAAATCATCTGTTGATCTGATAATCCACTGTATCACGAACAACAATTTCCTGCACAAGCAGGAAAATATTCATTATTTGAAAAAATTTCCATTTTAATCCTCTACATAAAAGATATACCTGTACTTGAAATTATTCAGTCTTTTGAGATCTCCATCCTTTATTCTATAGAAACACACATTACAAGATCATATACAGCAGAGTCCCATACAATGAGGAGATATGTATATGTTCTGCATTATAAAAAATCCTGTTATCGAGACATGAATTATCAAACAATTTTATGCAAGTTTAAACATATGCCTAGAAGCTGAAAATATATACCTCTGGATGACAAAATTAGAATTTTGTATGAGTACTAATCACAAGTTTTTTGGTCATGTTATACAAATTCACATTATAGCGGAGAGCATTATACATGCATTCACTGTATTATGCCATGCATGTGTACAACAAAGCTGACAAAAACTATATATACTGTAAGCACAAAAAGAGGCAAAGTACATATACTCATTAGCACTTCATTTGACTTCATGATCTGTTTTGATGATGTATTCAATCAGCAGAAAAGCCACAACTGCTTGATATTAACAATCTTATGTACATGTTATTCGTCTAAGCAGAAACTTGTCAGGAAGGCCTTCATGATTTGGAAAGACTCAATTTGCTTTGCTAAATTTCAACACTATATTAGTACAAGCATCAGAATATTCACTAAGTGGTTCTTCCTCAATAATATAAGTCTGCTGACTCTCTTTGTACAATCTTCAAATACCAGACATGTCTGTACAATGCCATCAAAGAAATTACACACAGCTGACAAAATTTGAAAAATATTACATCATCAGGCTAAGAGAAATAGAATAGCCATTTCACAAAATTGCCTGCCATCTGGGCTGTTCTATCCTGACTATGAGGAGGTGGTGGTATTTAAGCAGTGGATATGTAAGCCTGCCTGCTATGTATGCAAACACACACAGCAGGCAGGATGTTCCAGACACAACAGCAACAGAAATGATCTGATCATGTCATAAGCACAAACAGTTGCAAAAGTATCTTTGTTCACTATCTAGAGACAGCTGAAAGCCTTGCTACAGAACCCTATCTCTTCTGTACCATTGGCAAGCAACTAACAGAGGCAAATTTGTATGCATGTTTCCTTTAGTACCTCAACATTGTTGACTTTGTTTTCAGTGGTATCATGATAAAGAAACATGGACTGCTATGAACTGACAGCATATCTTTAACATTAAATTTCAGTTTTGTTTGAGGACATATGACCACTGTGTTGGTATGGAGGACCACTAGTCATATCTTCAATCTTTACTATTGGGCAGCACATTCCCCCATGTTGGTATGCTAGTCTGAGGTGCTATCTTATAAAAGTTGATTACCCCTAGTACTGAAACAAAGGACATTTATGGCATAGTAACATGCTTAGGAAATCCTACACCCTAATTTGTTGCCTTTCATGCATGATGGCAGGACTGCAAACAGCCATTTTCCAGCATGATAATGCCTGGATGTTTTTCAGACTAGGGTTTTTCAGGAATGTCTATTACATTGCCATACTTACTTGGCATGCCTGATCTCCAGATTTATTGCCCATTGAGTATTTGTGAGATCAGACAGGACTCCAGCTTCACCATTTACAAGAATGAGAGATCTACAATAGCAGTTGTAGATCTATCATCATCTGTGAGCAAATCTATTGCAGGATAGAATATGGTGCTTGTAAGTCTCCATGCATGACACTATCACCACATATATCCTGGAAGAAGAGATCCTACAGGATACTAAAGATTTATTTAAATTATACCATTGTTCTGAGGAAACTGTACCATTGTTATGTTATTATAATATCTTACTAACATTTTGTTCATGTTAATAAAAACTTTCATTAAATTCAAATGCCTCCTTAGTACATAAACTTTTTCATTAACGATTATATTGAATCATTGTTTCAGTACTAATACTATTATTAAAATTACATTTAAAATTAAATATTTTAATTTAGAAAGTTAATTGTGTAATTCATTCTTAAAATAAGAGGAGCTTGTGATATTTATGATAAATCTACCAGTTTTATTAACATATAGGCTAATAGAATTGATAGATTATATAGTTATACAGGAAATTCTTGTTAATATGAACTCAGTTCAAAATCCTGTTAGTTTGTAACTGTACTTTTGTCTCTGCTGCGGATAGAGAGATTTGCATGTTAAGGAATTTGATTAATTCAAAATACAGCTACTTTAAAATTCAAAGTGAAAGTTCTCTCTGAACTTTGATTTAAACAATTAGTTAACATACTCTTATCAAAGTGTCTCTATAAGAGAACAATAGACCAAGAACAGTTATGCTACCTGGACCTTTTGTCCAATCTCCTCTTCCAGTATATTTAAAATTATGATATAACCATTACTATGGTGCCAACTGTAGATGCATTCAGCACCCTTGTTCCGTAAACTCCCACATAAGGCATTCAGCCGGCCATTGCATTCCCAGCAAGGCATATATATAAATATAAACATCTTACTAAACTCAATACATTGCAATAACACACCTTCAACTGCTGTCTTCCAGCTTATTCTAAAATTATTTAATTATATCGAGAACAACTCTAATCTGGTCAATATGACTTTGAATTTACAGTAATGCATTTTTGGGTGTCACCTTATCCATGGACTAATCTTTTTCTCTCTCATCTCATAAAATACAACTGGATTTTAGGATTGCTAGATTGGGCTATGAGTAGCAGAAAGATATTTGTAGGGCTCTAGGCTACTACATTTGGGCAATGTATTACTTTTTGGGCTACTTTAAAAATAATTTGGGTGACATTTTGAAGAATTCTACTACTTTACTTTTTATAAAACCTATCTGGCAACCTATGAGGTTCTCATCGGACACTTGGCTGTTTACCTTCACATTTATATTATTATTATGTTGGGTTTAGTGGGTTTTACTCGGTTCACACCGGTGGCTGTGTACTATGCTGGACCAGAGTCAAGGCATAGCAACCAAAACAAAACTAAAATTAAATAAGTGTGTCAGTGTCTGTATTCAGGAATTTCCTAACAATGTGGCATGTATTCAATATAGTGGCCTTCTGTAGTGTTACGTATGTATTTCTACTCAATTCTAATGTTCCCAGGCTTTTGTGTAGTGTGTATGGTATCACACCTGTACAGGAGAGAACAACAGGTACAATAACTACCTTATCCATCCTCCACAGATGCCTTATTTCCTGGGCAAGTTCTGTGTACCTGCTAATTTTTTCAGTGCATGTGTTTTGTACATTGTGAGTGTTTGGAACGGCTATGTCTATAATGTATGTAATTTTATTGTGTTCGTCAATGAGTGTGATGTCTGGTCTATTGTGGTAAATTGTTTTATCTGTAATTATGGTTCTGTCGTAGTACAGTTTGTGTGTGTTGTTTTCCAATACTGTCTGTGGAATATACTTGTAGTATGGTTTGTGGATGTCTAATAATTTGTGTTTGTTTGCAAGCTCTTGGTGTATTATATTTGCTACTTGATTGTGTCTATGTAAGTAATCTGTCTGTGCCAAGAGCTTGCACCCAGATTTGATGTGTTGTATAGTTTCTGGCATGATGTGACACTTTCTGCATGTGTCATTTGTGAGTGTTGTATCTTTGAGTATGTGTTTTCTGTAGTTTTTAGTATTTATGACCTGATCCTGTATGCCAATCATGAATCCTTCCGCCTCCCCAAAGAGGCATCCCCGATCTAACCAGCTGTTTGACGCACTTTTGTCAACAAAATCCTGGGCCAGGTCATAAGGATGCCTGCCATGGAGTGCCTTTCGAGCCCACGATTGCTTGATGGTGTCTGCTTTTTATGTGTTGTGTCATGTCTGTGTGATGTGAGTGTAACTTTAATTGTGTGCTATTTGAGTCTGCTAGAGTTACTGCTTTATGTAATTGTGATGTTTCTTGTTTCATGTAGAAAAACTCTCGCAGTGACTGTATTTGTTTGTAGTGAAGGTTAACTATGTCAATCAGGCCACGTCTGCCTTCTTTACGTGGAAGGGATAATCTTTCTGTAGCGGATTAGGATGATATTGTTTATGCTTAGTAAGTGTTGTTCTTGTTTTCCTTTGGAGTTGCTCGAGATCTGTGTGAGTCCAATGTATAACTCCAAAAGAGTACGAGAGTACTGGGACGACATATGTGTTTATTGCTTTAACTGTGTGTTTTGCATTTAGCTGTGTTGTGAAAATGGCATTTAACCTACTTTGGTATTCTTCAATTAATCTTTGCTTTATTTGTGTATGTTCCGTTAGTTTGGCCTGTTGGAATCCTAAATACTTGTAGAACTCGCCCTCTTCCATGGATTCAATAATGTCTCCATTTCCAAGTGCAAAATCTTTCTTCAGGATTCCTTTTTCTATGTGTAGTTTTTTGCATTTGTCTAAGCCAAACTCCATTTGTATGTCCTTGGTGTATGAATGTGTGATTTGTAGG